ACAACTTTTTATCGGTTTCGCTGGTGCAGGACGAGTCGCAGGGGCCATCAGGAGAAGTTTTGAGTTGAGATATCAGAGACGACTGGCAGAAGCAAGAGACATGGACTGCGTGTGTGTCTTCTGGACTAGCCAGGCAGCTGCCCGCTGCCTGCTGGAGCACTGAGCATGACAGACCGCATGCTGGGAACGAAGCGGAAGCGGCGGAAGGTAAGATGGTGTCGGTAGTCGCGAGAACAGTGGTCGTGAGGAGGAAGGCGATTATCAACAGATGGAATAGTCGACAGGTTGGCTTGAGAACAGCATTGTTGGCAGTCCAGGCCAACAGCCCATATGCCATGACGACGCAGGTTGAGACTCCGGTGGAGACCGTCGGGTGGGAAGCTCACAGGAATAGACGGCCCACCATCATACGAAAAGGCGAAGAATGAGGATGAAAGGGGACGGAGGAACAGGATACTTTAATGTAAAAAGAGGAAGAGGATCAAAGGAATGACAAGCAATGGTCGATAGATGAGATCGAAAGAATGCTTCGATTAGATGAGATAACGGATGATCAACGAGGGAGACGGATTGGGCAAGGAAAGAAAACGAGAGAGCAGAGGAGCAGAAAAGACAGGACAAGGAAGAAACAAATTCGGAACAGGGCTCAGGACTCAGCGGCAGAGTATTTCGCCTGACTTGTTAATAATAATTATTTAGTGAAATCCAGGCACAGACACTTGATTATGGAGACAGCCTGGAGTAAATTAAACAGCCCGCGTGGATAAATGGTGGACTCAATAATAGTCAAATAGGCAGGAGGAAAAAGCTGCTCCGCAAGCGGCCGGAGCGACGATGGAAGACTAGACGCACTTGATTTACCTTAGTTCTTGTCTAGCGGATGATTCAATGCAATTGATTCGATTGCATGCTCAAATCCTGGTTGGCAGCAGCCAATGTATCCTTGGATCTAAATTGCGTCTCCAAAGGATCCAATTTCCCCAGGGTCAGGCACCCAGGCAGTATTGACTATTGAGGCACTCAAGACGTTATCCACTTTTCTGTCACCTTAAGGTTACACCTGCAACTTGACGCTGTACAGTAGCATGGAAGATTCAAAATGACCATGTCCGGTTGCGGCACAATGCCATCTCAATGTCTACATGAGCTGTCTGTCGATTAGATAAAGAAGCATCGAAACTTGGCTTATAGTGATACAATGTGAGTTGGAGGTTTGTGCCTCCCTCTGCGTGTACAGTGCTTACAGTGCTTCTGTGCTCCATTCTGCGTAGGCTAAAAAAAGCAATGCAACGTTTTGTACTACTACTAGTATTCCCACTATTGTCCTTGCTGTTATTCTTGGCGTGATCTATTCGACCAGATTCAAACTCCAACCATGGAGCTAGATAGAGATTGAGCTTCCGAGCTATCACGGAGTAAAGTCACTGTGACCTCATATCCAGATAGAAACTCAAAACTCACTTCTCATGGTCACTGACAGAACCTGGCATTGCTAGAGCGGGAAGGGATCCGCGGAATGGATCGACCGCTCAAGTGGTCCAGAACGTGAGAGCTTCGATTTGTACGCTGGACACAGGTCGACTTTGCCAGGGGGAGGAATGTCGGCCTGAGCATCGCTTGAAGAAGCTCGATCGAATCCTCGACTTCTTAAAGGTTAATTCTTATTTTAACATCGAATAGTATCGTTTCTTTCGTGGCGATCTTGATGTGATGCGACGATTGCGACCGACGTCGCTCCGGTTGAGATGGTTGTTCACCAAAAAGCTGACAGACCATGCTAGGAATGTTTGTTGCGAGTTTCGCTATGCTTTTCCCGTCCTCTGATTGCTTGAGATATTTTTACTGGACTATATTTGAGAGCTTGGGATATTGTCATGTTCTACCCTCTTTATTGATATGGGCACTGGCAGGACGAGGGAGACGCGGTCGGCGAAAATCCTAACACCTTTTTTTCAGTCTATTTCCGGCCATCCTCTCGTATGCCTGCAACATGATGATGATCAACGTCGGAGTTGACGGATTTTGCGACAGCTTAGCCCCGTCAACGCGGACCGATTTGAGTCATCAGTCGCAACATCTGGTCTCGGGTACAGAGTATATATATCCTCAATAAGCCGTGAGTTCAATAAGATAGACAATTGAGAGATCGATCGTAATAGTAACAGTCAGAAATACCAGTACGATGGCAGCACCTCAAGCCTGGCTCATCACCGGCGCCTCATCCGGCTTCGGGGCCATCCTCGCAGAAGCCGTGCTAAAAGCCGGTCATCGAGTCGTCGCGACGGCTCGAAACCCTGTCAAGGCAGCGCAGACTTATCCCCAGATTGAGTCGTTAGGTGGGAGCTGGTTGCAGCTCGACGTGACCCGACCAGACACAAAGGAAACAGTCGAGGAGGCCATCCGGAAGCAAGGACGGATTGACGTTGTCGTCAACAACGCAGGCTATGCTTTGCTCGGCAGTGTGGAGGATATGAGGTATGCCTTGTTATGACTCGTCTGCACTTGGAGTGTATCAGCCTCATCTGACGATCGCAGTGAGGAGGAGATCCACCAACAGATCAACACCAACGTCTACGGACCTATGCGAGTCATCAAAGCCGCTCTTCCGTTCATGCGGGCCCAAAGGTCCGGTACAATTGTGAACATAAGCAGTATCGCAGGTTTACAGGCTCAGCCGTCATGCTCACTCTACGCAGCCAGCAAGTTTGCTCTAGAGGGTATGTTCAGAAGAAAGTCCGAAAAGACTGCTCGACTGACAAACACCAGGTTTCTCAGAGTCCCTTTCGAAAGAAGTCGCCCCGTTCAATATCCGAGTTCTCATCGTGGAGCCTGGCGCCTTTCGGACGAACTTCTTATCGGCCTATGCCACCCCGGCCGCTGGACTGAACCCGGCGTACGAAGGCACGACCATCGATCAAGTACTACAAGTCTTCCAGAGCAACAACGGGAAACAGGCAGGTGATCCGGTCAAGGCAGTTGAGCGAATCATCGATGTGGTGCAAGGGACCGGTATAGGTGCTGGCAAGACCGGTTGTCTCCGCTTGCCGTTGGGACGGGACTGCATCGCACGGGCCAAGGTCAAGCTGGAGGAAGTGAGGAAGAATCTGGATGAGATGGAGGCGATTGCCTGCAGCACCGATTTGTGAATGCCAATAATATAGATTGAAGACAAAAAAGTTCTTTCGGCCGGCCACAGTGACAAATGCGAATTGTGTCCCTTTGTGCTACCCGATATGTTTCGAGGATGAAAGAATTCATCAAATCCACTATGACCACTGAAAGTCAGGAGTTAAACAATATGTCTAAAGTTCCTAGGCAACTCGTTTCCACCTAACGAGTGACGCATTGGTCTATCGTGAATGAAAAGCATCATTGCAGCCACCAAGCCGGACAATATGTCCGCCAATAAGGCCATTGTTCAGTAGTAGCGAGCTGCTACCGGTACCGTGGGCGCCATTATGTCCTCAGAGCGTGATTATGACTTCATTTAGACGTTGCCTGCGATATACAAGCGGTACGACTGCCTGTCGAGAGAAGAAACTATATACGTATCCTTCGACAGCAGACTCCAGAATCTAATTCATCATTGTAAAGCCGCGCCAATGTCCAAAACGATCGAATTCAATGTCTTCAAAGGCTCCGAGAGCGGGGACGTCAACCCCGACACGATCAGACGCACCATCCAGCCCTCGGAAGTCTTCATTGAGATCTCGCACGCGGGCCTCTGCGGAACGGACCGGCTATTCAAGAACAAGGGCATTGCCCTTGGCCACGAGGGCGCAGGCACCGTCCGTGACGTTGGAAGCGCAGTAACCGACTTCAAGGTCGGCGACAAGGTTGGCTTCGGCTGGGTGCGCAAGGTGTGTGGACATTGCGACTTCTGCGTTAGCGGTATGTACGTTTTTCTTGATTTAACCCCTTCCGATTGATGGTAATAATATAATGCCAGGTCACGATCAGTATTGCCAGCAGCGCGAGCAGTATGGCAAGGAGAACACCGAGATCGGTGCATTCGCTACCCACGCCGTCTGGCACGAGAGCATGCTGATCAAGCTTCCAGATGACCTGGAGCCTGAGTATGCTGCTCCGCTGATGTGCGGCGGAGCGACTGTCTGGTGTGCTTTGACGTGCTACGATATCAAGCCTGGAGACCGAGTCGGGGTCCAGGGGATCGGCGGACTAGGCCATATGGCTATTCAGTTTGCGTCAAAGCTAGGATGTGACGTGGTTGTGTTCTCGAGCTCCGCCGCAAAGGAGGACGAGGCGAAGGGCCTGGGAGCGAACGAGTTCCATACACTTGAGAACGGTGCTGTGCGAGATGCTGTGCGGCCGGTAAAGCATCTTCTCTGGTGTGGAAATGAGCCGCCTGATTTTTCCAAGTTGGTGCCTCTATCCTTGACTTCGAGAGATTGTAGCTTACCTCTATTCCAGAATCTTTCCGATTATGTCTCCCGACAGTACAATCTATCTGCTGACAGTGAGCACGCAACAACCCCCGCTACCAGTCATGCCGCTTATCTCGAACGGCATTCGGATTCAGGGCTCAGCGGTAGCATCGCGTGTGGCTGTCCGCAAGATGCTGCGATTCGTGTCACTGCACAGAATCCGGCCCATTATCATGACATGGCCGATGACAAAGGATGGAATCCAAGCTGCATTCCAGATCCTGGAGCAGGGCAAAATGCGGTACCGGGGAGTTATTGTCGGCCAGAGACATTTGATGGGGAAGCCTGCTGTAGAGAAAATGGGATGATCGTGTAAAATTAAAGATTGGCCTTTGACGATGAATCTATGCGTTGTGGTAGAAAACTAGAGTGTGTAGTCTAGATTGCAGAGAGTTGGTTTGCCGCGGCCCGCCCCGTCTACTCCTAGCCCGCCAGAAATCATCACCGCACCGCTTCATCTCAAAATACCCAGTTGTCAACATCCACACAACTAATGGAACACCCAACATGACTGATTCAACACTATCCTGTCCCCTAACTAACCCCGCAAACACCATGCCTCCCACCCGCGCTTCAAATCTTCCCCCCAGTCTACTGAACGGCATCTTCACCTCCCTCAGCCAACCCTCCCGCCGCTGGTCCCTCCTTCGCACCCTCCAAAGCGACAATCCCCTCGACATCAACGGCGAACTCCGCGGCACAGCGTCCTTCCACCCTCTGCGACATGGCTCCGCCGCCTCCGACCGCCGCGATGTAGTCTACCGCGAGGAAGGCGAGTTACCGAACACATTCGGGCCGGGACTACGCTGGACGAAGAAGTACATCTGGCGGCAGGCGGAGAATGGGGGGATAAGCGTTTGGTTTGTGAAGGTGAAGCCGACTGCCAAACAGCCGGAGGTCCAGGAAGAGGAGGACGAGGCGGATTACCTGTTTCACAACTTTGATTTTGAAGGGCAGGGGCAGGGGCAGGACGATGCGGAGACGGTGGACACGAAGGAGCCGACATTTGTCACGCCGCCGGTGCCGCCGCTCGTTCCCGGATCGGAAGAGGATACGGCTGTGATCATGGCGAGGGGGAACCATCTGTGCATCAATGATATGTATCGGACTGCGTATGCGTTCCGGGTACGGCCTGAGTCTGGGGAAGTTGTGAGCTGGTCGAGTCGCCATGTTGTCAAGGGGCCGAAGAAGAATCAGGATATTGTGAACTTGTATCGCATGGAGGGGTAAGGGCACCAATGGCGAGAATTACACCAGACGATTCGGATACGAAACGATTTCTGCTACGTGCAGACCCAAACCTGTGTTCCTTCTACATCAAGCCGGAGCCAGTTACCACTAGCTCCCATGACGATTTGCACGATACAGTTTCCCGGAGATGCCCCGGGAGATGCAAGGTGGATAGTTGGCACATACGACGTTTTACCTCAACTACCAGGTAACATTTGTACAGCCTCAACCATGGAAGTTGTGTATCTCATTGGTATTTATCGATCATCAGCAATCATATCGCGTTCACAGCGTGTAAATGAAATCCGGCCTCTTATCTCCAAGGAGTTCGATTTGGCTGCGGTCCAATCCCTGAACCCAATGATCCCGATCTCCGCGCAGACGCTTGCGGTTTTCGAGTCTGAGGAGCAGATACTGCACCACGGAACCACCGAACAAGAACAAGACTAGATACGCCAGCACGGTACCATGGCCAGGATAGAAGTTGGGCGCGTCCTTGCCTCGGTAGATGTTGGAAGACACGATTCCGTTGAGGTTACCCCACCCGATGACTATACCGAGCGTTACACCCCGTTTGTACACACCTAGATCATGCTGTCAAGATATTGCAGAATGTTCATGGACCCGGGAACACTCACCTTCAGTGTTGTTGCTAGCCCAGGAGATGGTATTCGAAATGGCAGGATAGATGCCCATGGCACCGAGGAATGTCCCTGCATACCGCGCTCCGGCTGATTTGCAGCCGAGGAGCATTGCGAAGCCAACAATGCCGACGAGAGAGACGAGGATGTTGCAAATACCACGTTGGCGCGTGCGGTCAGCGATGAAACCTACAGCGACGGTAACAATGGCCGCTGCCGCGTATGGTGGAACACTGAGTAGCTGGGCCTTGATGGCAGTGTATCCTTGTCCTTGTTAGTCAATTCACTCGACGAAAATGTATTATAACATACCCTAGACTCTGTTAGCATATAAAACCACGAATTGTCCTACGCAAACTCACCAGCTGGTTGATGATGGTCGGCACGAAAAGCGAGAATGCATACAGAGACCCATCCGCTCCCATGTAAATAATAGCGCMGGTATAGGTCTTCCAGTCTTTCAAACTAGACCAGAAATAGGTCATCTTGAACTGCTCATGCTCCGCACTGGCCTGTTGGTCCTCCGCAAGGCGGCGCAGGACACGCTTGCGGTCCGCCTCGGACAGGAACGTGGCCTCATCGGGAAAGTCATGGACCATCCAGAATGACAGGAAGCCGATGATGATGGTTGCCAGACCCTCCAGGATGAAAATCCACGACCAGCCTGCCTTACCGCCAATTCCATCCATGTGAGCAATGGCAGCAGCGAGAAGGCCTCCGAAAGAACCAGCGAGCGCAGCGGCAGAGAAAAAGATGGCCATGCGTACACCGAATTCTGCTCGCTTGTACCAGCAGGAGAGGAAATAGCCGACCCCCGGAAAGAGACCGGCTTCGGCGAGTCCGAGAAACCATCGGACCTGCTGCTTGTTAGCATCATCATGTCGGATGACAATAAATGTGGGAACCGAATGACTGAGGGGTTATAGGAAGGCACACACCGCCATCAATCCAGACCAATTCTGCACGACACCCATCAACGTCATACATATGCCCTAGATCTGAATTAGCTCGAACTTGCAGCAAAAGCGACGTGGCACCTACCCATGCGAGCATGATAGCAGGTATAAACACGCTCGGTCGCCATTTCTTGAGCAGGACATTGGTGATCGGCTCGAAGATCGAGTACGAGATGAAGAAGATGGTCAAGCTATCGTTATATTGGTCATTGGTCATTTTGAGATCCTTCTGCAGGCCAGCTAGCTTTGCATTGCCGATATTTGTACTTTAGAGAGTCAGTATGGCTCGTCGCATTCACGTAGGATGGACATACCGGTCCAAAAATGAAATCAGATACAACAAGCTGAGCCATGGGATCAACCTGATATCGAGCTTGCGAACGAGCGCGCGATCCTAGGTCGGTCAGCCAAAGGTACTCTTTCAAACATTTAAGCCATCGTACTATCTTAGCTCGTTCCTCCGGACTGAGCCCTTCATCGGGATCTTCGAAGAGTTCGAGCTTTGATTTCGGCGCGAATTCATGCGAGCCAGAACCCTTCTCCGCGTCGGATGGTCGGGGTACCTGGTCGACTGATGCTTTTTCATCCGTCGGTTGTGACATGATGATAGCTTGCCGGTTAGTCACGGCAGTACGAGTATGTATTTATAAGGAGTAAAGTAGGGGGAATAAGGACGGGAGACAAGCACTAATGACAGGGAAGGAAGACAGGACAAGATATGAGGGGAAGGCAAGGCGACGAAAAAAAAAAACTTGAGTCGCCCACTACCGCTGATCTTCAGTAGCTCTAATATACCGCGTGAAATAAGCAAGATCCCTCCGCGCTACATACGACATTGACAAGGATCATCATCCACTGAGGGGTTCTGGCCGAGGTGCGGTGGATGGCTAGATACCATCGCTTCCACAAATTCCCCAACAAGTCCCGTCCAATGACCGGCGTGGACGATCAATCAGGAATTCCACTTCTTGACTCCAAAACTTAGTCTACTAGACTAATTGATAAGCAAGAAACATACTTCTCATACCAGAGGAATGCCAAGTCCGGGCCCCCATCTCTACTTTCCGGAAGCGGGAGCCTTAGCGCGGGATGGCCCAACACCCCGCGGGGCATCCCCAGCTTGCTGACTTGCTCAAGGCTTGACTAGACCACTTCTGTCACAACATACACATTGTGTTGTTTGAATATGGGTTGATACCCTCGATGGCTACAAACTTAGGGCAAACATGAGCAGTATCGTCGCGGAATCTTATTCTCTAACAACTTAAAAATACGGATGGCCAAAGGATGTTTGGCAGAAAGTGCAGAAAGTCAAAACTCTAAGCTGTTATTACTGCGCTAGTGCTTGACGATCACAGTTGGAGACAAGCGTAGGAAGATGCAATTTTTTTCCTTAAGTCCGAAGGAAAGCAATACCCCATGTCCACGCGGAATTCTGCTTATGCATCGCGCTTTGACCACTAATACGAAGCTCGTATCGGCCACTTGTCCGACCCAATTCTTTGAAACTGGCTAGACGCCGTTGGCTCGTGGCTTGCCACAGCCTAACACAAAAGAGGAGATCATGAGAGGATCCGCTATCAGTGCATAATTATGAATCATGAACAAACACGAGAGATGTTTCCAGAACCTGTTTAGAAAAAAACTATTACCTAACCCATGCCAACCCGACTTCCATCTCCATGATGCCTAGCCTTCATTCTGCCGCCTTTCTAAGAAACTTAATGCTGCATCTTTCGAAGCTCGGATGGCCTTGGAAGAGATCATACGCGGCTGCGGCCAGCCTGATTGAATAGAAACGGACATAGATATCACCCACCACCTGTCCTTCCTCCACGCTTTCAATATAGATGTAGTAGGCAGACCGCTTCAGTACGCGGTAAATCTCCTCCTTCAATGACCTCCGAAGGTTGGTGATGACCAGGCACCGGGTGTAGCCCTGATGAAAAATGTTGTGGCTCATCTGGGACGTCATCGGGTAAGTCGGAGTGTGGACGAGAGCTACGTTGGCCACGCAGAAGCCCAAAGGTAGTCCTTCCTTTGATTTCCGAACAAAGTCTAGTGCATCCTTCTCAAGCACAAACACAACGATAGCAGTGTTATATCCAGTGATAGGGCTTGTGTTGCAGAGAGAAGCCGAGTAGATCTCACCCGGAACAGACGGCAGTACCTGGCTCAGAGTCATGTTTGACGCGAGCTTCTCAATCCGGACAGTGCGAAAGACATTGGACTCCCGTCCAGCAGGAATATATCGGAGCCCATATTGGAAAATCCAGAGATCTGAGACCGGTTGCCGAGAAAGGAGGTTCGGACGATAAGAGAAGGCATCGGCCTCTTCTTGTTGATTATCAAATATACTACATCCCTTTATGGCCCAGCGGATATTGCCATCCCAGGGAACAGTGTCCATCCCTGATCGGTAAGGCTTCGGGACGTCGGAATTCTTGCGTACACGAGCAACGATCAGAGATTTCTGGGAAGCGAGTTGTCAGAAGTAGCACAACCAGCTATTACGTTAAGACCACTCACCCGTTCGGGCTCCAACACCGGAATCATCAAATCCTCTATCCCAGCATCAAGCAGGACATCAGAGTCCGTACGTTGCAGCGATACCGTTCTCAACTGATTCGGATCGGTGGCAGCGAGATGGACCCGGTTCTGAGGCGTCTTAGGCTGCAGAGTCGGGACTCTAATATCGTCCAAGTGACTGTCCAGGATGTTGGAGCATTTTCGTGGATTGAGTAAAACTACTGTGGTCTTTTCAGAATAAACAGGTCCAAGAGAGAAGCTTTTGGGGGAGATATTTTCAGAGGTAGTGTTATCATTGTCCTTTGTGTTGATGTTGTTTTCTTCATGCTGAGTTTCCTTGTTCGCCAGGGAGCAAAAGGTTTCTGAAGGTTGAGAGGCTTGAGCCATGGCCAGAATTACGGCATTAAGACGACGGAATAGAATGAAAAGTCCAAGCAGGAGAGAAAAATTCACTATAAGAGAGAAGATGGGACCGGTGGTGAGGGGAACACATCCTTCCATTTTGGGAAAGGATTAAGTGGGAATCTGCAGCGGATATGAAAACTGAATATAGAGTAGACTTCTCCAGAGTGCTCACTTCTCACTTCTAAGTGAATTCTAGTTGAGAAGAGATTGCGATTATATGTGAGAAAGTCGTGAAGGCTTCTACGAAGGCCTTTGTCCACAATGGTGCAGAATGTGCATCAATTCTGAAAGCTCCTATATGCGAGACTGATGTTAGTATGAGCGGAACAAGGAGTGAGTGTCTGATGAAACCTTTTAGAAGCAAAATAAAGGAATTATCAGCAACAAAGACAGCATATACCGCTCCGTTGAGACCACTATGTTTGAGAGTTACCTAGTGAGTTGTTGATATAGACAGTGTCTTGGTGAT